GCTGCCTCCTGCACGCCCCACACTGGGGATCGAGCCCACACCCTGGGCATGTGCCCCGACTGGGAATTGAACCACTATCTCCTGGATCCTAAGTCAATGCTCAACCGCTGAGCCATGCCGGCCAGGCAGTCACTGAAGAATTTTTGAAAGAATTGTGTGCTCACGAGTTATCTCCACTCCCCAACTTTCCGTCTGCCCTGCAGGCCCGCACCCCCTGCTCCCCGGGAAGCGCTCTCCCCCGGGGCCCAGAGCCTCTCGTCCGTTCCCGCGGCCTGTCTGACTGGACTCTCCCCAGAGGCCCATCCGAGAGCCCTCCAGTTCCACGGGAGAGAAGATCCAACTGGGTTTGTGGCCCGAGAGAACAGCAGTGTCCTGTGTTGTTAATAACCCCCCTCCACTTCTCTTCCCGCATGAATCAGACACTGGATTAGCTGAGCCAATCCTCTTTCCTACCGTTCACCGCCTAGCAGGTTACTCAGCTCTGAGGGCTGAATTTTTAATGTCCGTCGTCACAGGTTTCATTTCTAAGGGTCATTCCTTGTTTTCAGACTACTCTTTTTTGCTGCAACACGTTCTTGTTTTGAGAATACAGTGTTTCGCTTTATTTTTCTGACACAAGTAATTTCAATATTTTTTCCTCCTAGTCCCTGAATTGTCCTCTGTTACTTTTAGTTTTAGTCTCCGTCCACTGGGTGGGAACTTCCAGAAATGTGATTCTAAGCAGTCTGTTCATATTCTACAGCAAGACTCTGGGAGCTCTGGGGTGGGGGGCTGGTGTCTCGGGGGGTAGGACGATTGGGTGGGAGACCAACTTTGTCATTTGGTAAATCTCTCTCCTCACCCACAAATACCAGCTCACGATGGTCTTTCCTCTGGGGCCTTTTAGCTTCTCCAGAGGGACCCCCCCGACTCTCCTGGGGGTGGAGATGCCCAGCTGAGGTTCCTCGAGTCCTGAAGGACCGGAACTGCCCCCCCAGGTGTTCAGCAGCAGCTCTGCCCTCCCCTTGTACCTGCCATTGGAGTCCCGCTCTCCTCTGGCTCGTTTGACCCGGAGAATGAACCTCTAGTACCTTGCAGTGGGAAAGGAGGGCCTGGAAGATGGGGGGTGGGGTCTACCGCTTCTGTTTAGAGTTCCTGCCTCTCCCCTTTTCGCACTTACACCTCACCCCCACCTTTCAAAGAGGAGACTCTCAGGTCAGCCCCCTCGGCTGGGGTCGTTCACCTCCCGGGCATCTTTCAAGCTCTTACTGACATTTCTCGTCCGGTGTTCTCCTCTTTTAATTTTTAATCCGTTACTGCCATGTTAGGACTTTAGGGTGGACTATCGATGATTGAAGCCACAATATTTAACTGAAAGTTAATTGACATATTTTTGGATTTTTTTTTATCCTTTAGGATTGCGTTTCCACACAGTGTCAGCAAATAGAAATCCTGCATTTTTCCGTGGCACCCAATTCTTCCTACAGAGCGAGCATGAAGGTACAGTTTTTTGTTCAAGTGTTGCTTATTGCAGAATATTCCCTGCGTGACCTGTGACTGAAACTGTCCTATTAAAAAAGGAAATGCATATGATTTGTGCTGCCTTTCAGACTGTCCAGGAGCATCTAGTCTAGTCTCCGATGTTCCGACTTTACAGAATTATTAAAAAAAACTCTATTAGGGTTTTTTAAAAAAGCATTTTTTATTATGAAACATATTCCTTATTCAGAAAAATACAGAAACATAAATGTAAAGCTCACTCGAGTTATTGTAAAGTGAACCCCCATCTAACCACCACCCTGGTCAACAAACTGGAGTTTGATGGCTACACAGAATGCTAGTCATAAAGCCCCCTTCCCCTAAATGTGACCAAACCATTGGTTTTTATGGGAATCATTTCTTGGCTCTTTAAAAAGTTTTCCTGCTTAAATAATATCCTAAACACTAGCGTTTAGTTTTGCCTGATTTTTAACTTTGTGTGACTGGAATCACGTTACTCCTTTTGGCTCTTTTTGCTCAACTTTGTCAGACTCATCTGAACTGTGTAGTCACCTTCGTTTCTATCCAGTGGCACTCCTCTGTATGACTGTACGCCGCTGGGAATACACAGTTCTGTCATCAGGGATGGACACTTAGGTGGTTTGGGTTGACTGTTGTGAAGAATGAAACTGTAAGCAGTCCTGCAGCTGTCTCCTGAGTCAAGTGTTTACATATTTCAGCCGGGTCGCAGGGTGAGCATACATCCAACTTCTGTAGCTAATGTGTAGTAGTTTTCCAAAATAGTTGTACCATTTACACTACCGCTAGTAGTGTATGAAAGTTATTTTCTTCGAAATCCTTGAAACTGTCCATCTTTCCGTTTTTACCATCTTGAGAGCATAATGGTCTCCCACTTTGGTTTAATTACGTTCGTTACTAATGAGGTAGACTGTAGTTGTTGGTGTATGCGCATTGGTCATGTGAATTTCTTTCATGAACTGCCTTCAAGATTTAGGCTTTTATTCTAAGTGCAATGGAAAGCAACTGGAGGGTTTTATGCAGGGGAGAGACATGATCCCAACCACTCTGACTGTGGGCGCAGGGTGAGTTGGAAGAACGGCGGTGGAAAGATCCGTTTGGCGGCTAGTGTGGGGGCCTAGCTGAGATGAAGAGTGTCTGGACCAGGGTGCAGTGAGACACAGAAAAAGCAGTGGATGGATGTCAAATGTAAATTGGAAGTAGGCTTGATGGGACCTGCTGAAGACGGGCTGTGGAGGGTGAGGGTGAGGGTGAGGAAGGCGGCCAGGGTAACTTCCAGGTTCTGAATGTGAAAGATGAGTGAAGCTGGGAAGGGCAGGATCAAGGGAACCGTGCCGGATGTGTTCTATTTGATAGGTAGGAGGCATCCAAATGGAGAGATCACCCGACAGCTGAATACATGAGATCTAGTGTTTTAAGATAGGCCAGAAAAAAAATATTGGGACTGGGAATCATCATGACACACAGGTCATGGGAGTGAGACCAATTAGAGCTCTTCTCAAGACTGTGTGAACTGATGGCTGTGCGTTAGTTGGATCTCACAGGGTTGAGTGATGGTGAAGATGCTCTGGGGGATAAGGGAGGGGTTGAAGCAAAGCTCTGCCCCTTAGTAGTCGTCACCGTGGACAACTGAGTATCTAACCCTTTTCTTGTACCTCAAATGGTTAATAATATTTGTAGAATTGTGAAGATTAAATCAGACTGAAATCCTTCCTTTCACATCTTAACTTTATTCTCTTTCAATGTTCTGATTAAGAACTTTCATACACAGGGAAGGCCAGACACACTGCCCGCCTGCTTTTCAGATTAACACTCAGTGGAGACTTTTGATCGTGTTGACAGAAGCGTTTTAGACAGACACGTGCCAGTGGAAAGGCACGAGATGAGCATGCAGAAGCGAGGTCCTAAGGGTAAAGGCCTGGGAGACAGACCCGTCTCCCCACAGGAGGCCTTGCAGCGTTGGTGCGTTTTCCTGAGCCAGCGTGGGGGCAGGAGTCCTGGACGCTACTGAATGTACTGCAGGGCCTGGCCACTGGAATCAGTGACGGAGAAACTTGAGATTAGGAAGATGCCCAATGGCCTGGCCATATGGAGTCAGTCACTGCAACAGCCAAGAGCAAATAGAGGTGGCCAGTGAGAGAAAGAGGCGGCGGCTGCTGTGATTAGAGGATGGATCGGTGTGAACTCAGTAGAATTAATAGGTCATCAGTCTATTAGTGGTTAAGCAACTGACAAATAGGCTTAGAGAAAGAGAAGTGTACATAACTGGTGAGCAAGAAAACTTGCGAATGACCAAGGCTCTTAGTGGAGAGCCCGGAGAAAAGGCTAACAGTGAAGGAGAAAGTATCTGGTGTGCCAGAGTCGGGGCGTCTCTATGGAGAGGGGATCCCGTGGAAGAGGGACTGCTTGGGAAATATGGTTAAGAGTCATTGTCAAAAAAAAAAAAAAAAGTCATTGTCAATCAGTCTCTGTCAGAATGTGAGGAATGTAGGGATTTTTGCACCAAAGATTTTTTTAGAGTCGCACAGGAGTAAGGAATTCTGGTCAGGCCTAGATTTTCAGGTGGTTTTCACCTGTCCTAGTAAAGATGACTAACCCCACAGAGAAACCCACCCAGTAAACCCATCCCACACCAACAGCACCATGATTTTCACAAGGGTGAACTAGGTACTAGGATCCTTCTCAAGTACTGCTGATTGGTATTAATGTATCTAAGTTTAATTCAGGAGGCAGAAGGTGATATTCTATCAGTTTGGTTCAAGCTCCTCTTTTTAGTCTATTCTCTAAACTCATGGAAAAACCACCTAGTAATCGAAGCCCTCTGGTCAGGTGCAGATATTTGTGGAGGGAATACATGGAAGCAAGGCCCTTCCTTAGAGGTGTTTTTAATATGTTTTTATTGATTTCAGAGAGAGGAAAGGAGAGGGAGAAACATAAACGATGTGAGAGGGTCACTGATCGGCTGCCTCCCGCACGCNCATAAACCATGTGAGAGGGTCACTGATCGGCTGCCTCCCGCACGCCCCCTGCTGGGGAGCGAGCCCACAACCCGGGCATCTGCCCTGACCTGAAATGGAACCTCGATCTCCTGGATCCTGGGTCGATGCTCAACTGCTGAGCCACGCTGCCGGCCGGAACTTCTCACTTCTTAATAAAGAATCCCGGAGCTGGAAAGTCCGAAAGTTCATCCTGTTCAGCCCATCATTTTATAAATGAGGACTTGGGTAGACAGAGGGCTTGGCAGCATCTGGGACCTACGTCCATTAAAGGATGCCTCCCTTAGACGTGTGCCTCTTGTGAGTCGGGGGCTTCGTCAAGTTAACGTTGGGTAAGAGTATCTGCTGGAATCCAGTTAAGCTAGTCCTAAGTTTAAGCATAAAGCCAATTATCTCCCCCTATTAGATAGTCTCAGAATCCTGTTCAACAGAACAAGTGTACAACTTGCTATGCTATTTGAAATGAAGTGACAGTATCTATCACGAATGTTAAACAGACAAAATGAGGTTAACTCAATAAATATCTTTTATTAAAGAAAATTGTTAAGCACCAAAACTGTATGTTGTTACATTGCATGTACAAGAAGAGAAAAGTGATTGCAATACTTGGTGTACAAGTACTTAACTCTGAAGTCATGAGTGTAAAAAACATGAAATACAAAGCATACAATTACGATGCAGAAAAGTTGCACTAAAGAGCAAAAGGCAACAGTCAAAACAATTATTGATTTCAGAGTATTGCTATAAATGCTTGCTTAGTTTTTCCTTTGTACTTTTAATACCTTAGAATGTTAATTTAGCGTATTTTGTATTGTAAATTTGCAAGAGTTGGCATTCACAATACCCTGTGCACAGCATCCTTAAAGCCCAGCACAGTGTGCTAGTGTTTTGCTTCTACCATTATATTGCACAAAGCTAGCTAAATGGTGAATCGGTTTGCCATTGAAATTGTCATTTGACTGGAAAGGCTAAAAAACATGTCAGTTTCATTAGCCCTAATGGGCTTTACTCATGCAAAATGATCTGTGGCCTTCAGTTTCTCATAAACTATATATTACGGTTTCAACCTTGGCAATACATACAGCACAGTGAGAAATTCAATGAGAGTGGGGATTCTGTCCAAGTTGAAGAAGTCAGAAGTCACTGTATGGGTGGTTCTGTCTACTCCTTTTGGTTCACAGATGAAGGGAAAATGCCATCTCGTGATTATGGAGACTTCTTAAAACCAATATAATTAGTATTGGGAAAAGTTATACTTGTTATATTCTTTGTTAGTTAACCATAGAACATGCAAGTTAAAAAAAACACCACCCAAAACTTCCCTTGTTAAAACCGAGCTCTATAACCAACACCTATACCTTTTGTACATGTCTAAATATCACTTTCCATGGTCCTTCCTTAACTCCCCAAAATGAGCTACTCTAAGTTACACCTGACTTAAAAAAACACAAAAACTTTCTCCTAACCCTCAAAACAATTGCTTGCTTTGAGATTCAGTGTGAAATAACATTGATAAAATATTTAATATATCAATCTCAGAGGTATTTTCTGTACGTGCACCTTACAGTGTCATCATAAATGCATGGAGAAGGGGAGAAACATTTATAAATTTGGAATGAAATTAAATTCTTCAAATGCCAGGCTGTACATTTACTGTGGGCAAAAGAGAAGATTTCAGAATGAATGCATCTTCGAAATAATTCAGTGGGCAAACATTTAAAACACACACACACACTCTCTCTCTCTCTCTCTCTCTCTCCAGACTCCCTCTCACCTTTAAAAAACCTCTGTTTACATACATGATAGTTTAGGCAGCAATATAAACTCATTTTGTAGGAAAAACTTTTAAATTAGCCTATATTTATAGGATAAAAAATACCATTGCTTCACTTTACAAAGCAATTAACAGAGATTTTTTTAATGTGCTTTAACTAAAGAGCACTCTGCAGCAAAGTTCAGAAATAACTACTGAATTGTTCAGTAGCACTAAATAAATGCAACATGCTCCAGCAGTAAGGTGCTTCTACCTTCTTACCTCTCTTCCATCTGAAATAAGTTTTGCTGGTCAATCCTCTAACACTAAGCATAGTTCTTCTATGCTAAGCAGTAAATGGGGAATAAAATCTGTTTAAAATGCACATTTAACTTTATATTATTTAAATTCAGTGCAAGAATTAGGCAAAACTTAAGGTTTCTGCTTTCACTCTCAAATGGTTGCATGTTAACAATGAGTCTGCCACAGTTCTGAAATGTTTTACAGCTGTTGGAAAATACTTTTTTACAAATAACCTGGTAAAGTATATGAAATTTCAACTCCCTGATAAGGCCTTTAAGGACCCATTAGTACTTTACAGGTTGGTATCTGATGTTAAGTGTGTAATAATGAAATTATAAAGATTAAAAAAAACCCACCACAACCTTATATTTAGTGAAAGAAAAAACTCTTCTTAGGCTAAAAGCATTGACTTAAATATATATACACACTCAGTGAATGTAATTTAAAAAAAGGGAGTCTCAGGGAATGTATAAAATTAAATTGTATTAATTGTATACTGGTCCCATTCCAAACAGAGAGGATGCTCCCCATTCATTGTTGTTCCACTGATGTAAGAGTTTTAATTCTTGGTGTCTGCTATGGCCAAAGTATGGTTTAAGAAAGTGGTCACACCACATGTTACCAAATATTGCTACGTAGTTCAGCTTTGTAGAAACAAGGATTTTTGTCCTTTCATCATACAAAAAAGTGCTGAAATTTTTCTATGGTTTCATATAAGAAAAGCCCCACAGTCCCACTGTGGAAATACTACACCTGATCAAGTGTCGTAGCCATATCTAAGACTCTATTTGAAAAATGCATTTTATAGAAATGTTTCAGTTCCACAATGAAGAATTAAAGAATGATTGCTTTTATGCTGCTCACAAACTCAAGAAGCCTATAAAATATACATCAAGTATGCAAGACAATTGCTCACCTTTTAAAATCCTCATTAGCCAGGCATTTCCTTATATGGCTACACTATAGTACCATTAGGATTTTAAAACACTAGAAATTCCTTTTCTATACATGCCACATTGGTTATATGCACATAATTTTAGTTGCATTTGTAGGAGAAATATTTAACATTGACATTCAAATGAGCAGTAAGTAATATTAACCTCAAAACATCCCCCGAGTCACCACCTACTTATTTCCCTATTTTACATATAATGCAGTTGAGACTAGATTGGTAAATTAACTTCTGAATTAATTTAGCATAAGCAAGCAGCTGTTTGTGGATTCTTAATATGGAAATAATACATTAACAGAAATATAGCTGTCAAATATTTAGAACCAGTACAGGCAAGTTTGTAACTGGAAATGTGATCATCTATAAGGTACCATCCTAACTAAATATATATAAAAGTAATACTAAGGCCAAAGATGCTCATCTTATTGGGGCAAGAAAAAAAAAAAAAGAATTTAACTTTGCCTACATAATTCCTCTTGGGTTCTAAAACTGTTTTAAATTAAAATGAGGGTTTATCTGGTCATATCTTGATAGACAAGTCGACCATAGTTTAAATTTTATTATTATTTGTGAGAACTCTAAAAGGTAGACGACTTGCAGTAACATGCAATTTTGTGGAAGTTGGAACCCGAGTCTCGAAGGGAAGTGAATGTGGTGGAGAAAGTTATTTACCACAGAATGAGCACAGCTGTCTGCTCTAACCTACTCATCTTCAAGTGTGAGATAACCTTCATGAATTAGGTCACAGGACCCTTTTGTAAGTGAGCCTGCCTGTCTTTTAAAGGAGTCTCAGCTGTAACACCAAATGGGTAGCAATTCCCTCTAGACACGCGAGCTCCGGTGCTTTTGCTGTTAATTTAACACTGCATCCTCCTGTGTTTCTAAATGTCAATGAATGAAAATGAAAACAAAATGGAGTAAGCATCCAAAGGCGTAAAGTTGAAACATGATTTTTTTTAAGGTTTGCAGATTTACTAAAATTTTTTTCAAATACATTAACAATCAAACCTATCATTCTTTGGGTTAGAAAGCATGCTTCAACGCTTTACTGATGGTAGACAAGAAAAAACCTCCCTCCCTCCCCACCATGGGATGAAGACTAGTTTATCTATTAGACCTGCATTTCTCCTCTTTCCAGACTAGATGTGAGAATAGTGCTAGAATAAGCCAATGTATTGTGAACATGCCACGCAAAAGCTCTGACTTTTATCAAACGTTATCACCAACATTTAAGCAGAAAGATTTTGTTTTATATGACCTGTTGTCAGAAAATTTTCTCCGTAATTTTTTTCAAGGAAATAACACTTTAAAGTGACAAAGGTGCAAGCATTTCTTTTTTCTCCAGGATACCAATTCATTAGAGGGCTTTTACACTGGGACTGCTTTCTGAGTCTAGAAATAAAAGTTCTTGGTACTTTAGTCTTGACTTCCTTCATATAAAGGCCAAGATCTGTCTTATGCAGAATTACACTCTACAGAGTACTATAAACGGAGTCCAACATATCTGCCTCCATTCAAGCCCACAGCAGTCTAGCCGAGCATACACACTAGCTCCATTCATACGAATGCATCCTTCAGGACTCCGTTACAGCAAAATGGGCACCTAGAGCTATATACATGTTTAATTTAGTGACAATAACAAAGATTCTCTCCCAAAACTCCACTCAAAGCATGTGAAGATAGTGAAATGCCAGCTCAGGAGGCTTTTCTAACTACTTTCTTCTGCATATTTGTAGAGCACACTTTTTTCACTGTGGAGCATAAAAATAAAAAATGGTACATGATAAAAAGACTTACATCTGCATCCCTATTATAGAATCCTGATTTCTGATTCTCAATAGGAAAGTCATGTTATAGTAATCAAGCAATAGTTGAAACAAAAAGGCCAAAAATAATTTGAAATATTATCAAATTACAAAGTATTGCTTCTCATAAACAAAGCTGCACATAAAATTCAAACTATTATAAATTCACAATTATGAAGAGCCATTTTTTTAAAAGCATGGAATTTTTACTTCAGAAACTTACAAAGTGTAAGAGTGTGTGGTCTTCTAAAAATATGCCATGTTAAATGTATCATGTTGTGGTAAACACATTACCAGATGTACTCCATAGGTATGTATCTTTCCAGATGCTGCTGACTATCACTACAGAAATCCTCTGGAGATGAGTAACATGGAAATTTCCACCAGACGCATCTCCATCTGATTTTCGTTCAACACCTGTCCAACAGCTATTGTGATAACCTTCTTTTCCAGAGTGTCACACTATTTATATAAGCCAATATTGGAAGAAGCTCTGTAATTTTCAAGCAGATGACTATTCAGTGCACTGAAAAATGGATTTCAAAGCAGTCCCAATACAGCTCACAGCAGACCTCTGTCAACCCAGTGCTCTTCCAACTCATAGCGACCCCCAGCTTTACTGGCCACTACAAGTATGTAAGTGGGTGGGCAGGAGGGGAAGGTGGTAAAAAACCAGGGATCTCCTTGAAGGCCTTTTCTTCACTCTAGTCAGGAACACTGCGCATCCAAAATTCATGTTCACCACCATCTACTGGAATGACTGGAAAAGTGGTAACTTGCCAATTGTGCTTCCTTTTTCTCACATCACTGAGCCAATACACTTTGGATCTAATGGAATCCAATTGTGGAACCAAGTGCTTAAAATTTGTTTTCAAAAAAATATGAATCGATCTGCAACTGCAGGAATTTTTTCCTTTCTGTTGAGTCACCTGTTTATAAACGAAATAATAATGTGTATTAAAAAAGGATGACCTATTAAAGATAGTACATATATATACTCCCTCATACCTTTAGCAATATCCAGAATGAACACTGATGACTTTTTCTTATAAATGGCTGTTTATACAGGCAGTGTACAAAAGACACTTAAAAACAAAAAGGATATGCTTATATTCAAAAGCAATAAAAATGAAAAAAATTACACTGGTTTTGATCACTGTTAAAAGGTTGTATGTTAGATTCACTTTTACTTTTTACCCTAGTTTATGCTAAAACTATTTACAAAAAAGGAAAAATACAATCTAAAAATATCTGCCTCATAAACTGCCAGTATAATAAGAACTATTAAATGACATCTTTACAATTCAGTAGGGAGCAATTTTTGTTATACTGACATTTAGAGGATAGGATTAATACTGGTCTTTAAGTGGATGCTTTACCAGGCCTTTTTAAAATTCAGAATAGTCATCTTTGAGATCTATGAGCTTACTATGGCACAGGAACATTTATATAAAAGACCTACTTTATCAGATAAAAGCTGACATGCACAGGAATAAATGCTAACTTACTTTAGTATAGTTCTGTGTTATTCAATACTGTGGCTACATGTAGCTATTTGAGCACTTAACATGTGGAGCGTGTGACTGAGAAAATGAAGTTTTGACTTAAATTATGAAACAGTAGAAAATATTTGTCCACTCAATACAATTTTGTTGTTTTGATAGGACGTTTCACTTTAAACACTGAATATTTAGCATCCAAATTGAGATATGCTATGCCATAGTTTATAATAGTAAGTATAAACTACACAGTGGATTTTGAAGACCCAGTACAAAAAAATGTAAATTACGTTGTACATTTTTGATATTGAAAACATGTTTGAAAGACGCTATTCTGGATATAGCATATAAAATAAAGTATCAGTAAACTCAACTTCACCCATTCCTTTTTACCTTTTTTAAGTATGACTATAAGAATTTTTTAAGATCATATCTGTGGCTCACACTGTATTTCTATTGGACAGTGTCATTATAGTTACTTCATAAGTTTAAGAAGGACCCCACAAGAAACAAATCAGAAACTGAATAAAGTTCATATAACTATATGTATTTCCTTATATTTAGAAATGCCCTTCAAGGACACTCTTACCTACAGCTGGCCCTGGGAAGAGTTTTCAGAGGAGGATGAGGTGGAACAGGGGACCTTGCTTTTTTACTTCATGAAGTTTTGAGAAATTAGCTCTTCAAAGAAGTATGTAACTACATTGCTGATTTAAAATCTCTAAGAATGAAGCCAATTAGTAATAGGAAATACAAATTACAGCCTTTTTAGCTACCTGTAGGAAGTATCTAAAGCCTTTAAAAAAGATTCCCAAGACCACAGCGGCAGCGAACACAGCTCCTTATCAGTGCCTGCTCAGTCAGCGGGGTACAGCAGCCCACGGACTGCTTCTCGTATAGGATGCACGGTCTTAAAACTGGCTTTGCAGATATCTGAGCTCATACATTTTCTGGAAGTATTTCACTGTTTCTCTCAACATTATACTACATACACCAGCCATAAAAAAAATCAAAGAAAGAAGTTTTAGGCAATTTTCAAAGTGGTATTTATCATGGATATCTGATATAAGGCCAAAATAGCAGCCAAAAGATACCTGAATATAGGAAATACTACTGCAGTGTCTATGTCTATGGGCAGGATCTGGTGGGATGGAAGACGACAAACAGGGACGGGTTGGCCTGAGCAACTGCTGGTAGGCCATCCACCCTGACTAACTGTAATAAAAGGCCTAAACACACTCATTTATGTGAAGGCCCAGCTGTGGGATTAACCAACCAGCACTAAGATGGTAGTTTCAGGCAGAGGCTTAGCAGCTCACTGAGAAGCTCTAAGCAGGAGATAGGCACAGCAATAGGTAGCAAGCACTCTATTGCGGGAGACGATCTCCAAATATCCGGTGTCAAAAGGATTCCATCAGACACACTCGGGTCTCTAGACACATTCACACACCAAGTAGACACACTGATGTATTCCATCCCTCTACAAAGCATAGTGTACATATATGTACAAGCAGCACAATGGTTTGAAATTATTTTGGGGCCCATAAACAGTAAGTCATACAGAGTGACTGTTAATTAGGACCTCTATATAAGTAAGGCCCTTGGAGAAAAAGAATACCAAAAGCCCAAGACCCATGGCAGGACTGTGGTACTCTGGAATGTTGGCTCAAGTGCATTAAAGGTAACACACAACCACTTATCAAGAGAAATGTGATTTTTTTCACCCATTTTGTTAAATTACTGATATGTGCAGATGCTGCTGGGAAGAGGTGGGATTGGGAGTGTAGAAGAGGAACATTTCCTGATGGACTCATGCCCAAAACAAACAGGTAAAAGGGCTTTTAGTAATATGTGGTAACCAAAATAGTATCTTTGAACACATAATCAATATAAAAACTAATGATAGTTCGTTTTGTATTAAGTCTTCAAAATCCAGATGTATTCCTGCACATACATTGGAACTACTTGGTCAGTATCCTGGGGAGTGAAAGCTAGGAATCTGTGCTTTTAATAAGCTTTCCAGGTAATTGTTATAATCAAGCAAGTTTAAGAATAGCTGTGCTAATAAATAAGTTTATTATTCCTTTCCTTACTTCCTCTAGGACTAAAAGTCTTCCTCCTTTTGGTGAATGTTGTGAAGGTGTATACTACTTAATTTATAGTATATATTATCTTTACTGATGCTCTATATATTTAGCATAATTATAATTTTGCCACATTATAATTAACTTATTAAAATGTACCAGAGTATAACACTCTAGTACCTTAGGAGAATGCCAAATGTATATACAATACCCACAGGGGTACTCAATAAGGTATGTATATGTGTCATTTTTATATTTATTATGTTAAGTGCAATTTTCACTAAACAATATAGTAACTATAATAAGCCTTAAAACGATAAACCTCAGTTTTAAAGGCTTAAAAAGCCAATAATCAGATAATATAATTACTGTTCTAGACTAATACTCAAAAATGCCTTTGTGGGCAGCTAATAAGACATCAAAATTCAGTATGCATAAGTTTGTAATCAAAACATTTCAGTTAGAAAAGGTCTTTTGTTTTTGAAAGCTCGGATAAGATTGTCCCAATATTAGGTAAGACTCTCCTCTTTACTTGGGATATAGCTGTGCTGCAGAATTTTTAATGAGCTGGATATAAAACACAGCATTTACATAGCAGTATCTTTGAAAAGTACTTTTCTATTAAGTTTCTAGAAACTACAGAAGTAAAACCTGAAGTTTACAAATTTATGACCCAACTACAATTGGCCTGTACAATAAATAATAAGCCTCACACTCAATAAAATATTACAGACCTCATCATCCAAGATACAAGCTGTTACAAAGGCTACTGAAGGAAGTTAGAGCATTTACTTGTTAGTTTTCCCATTCCGTGCCAGGTAAAGCCTCCTCTTCGTCCTCTGACTCGGGGGATGCTTCTTTGATTCTCCTAAGAGCTTCATGGATGCTCCGTGTGAGAGGGTCTGTGTCAGGCAGAAGCGTGAAGGATTCTCTCAAAACTTCCTTCTGTACCTTCTTCAATTTTACCCCCTTCCTTATTTGTGCCAAGATATTATTACTATCATCTTCATCAGGAAAAGGGGGCAGAGTTCGCTGTTCCACCTTTTTCAGATGAAAACTACCCCGTTTCAAGGAAGCTAGCACCTCATCCATGGGTGAGCTCACTTTAGAAAAGGAGAGAGAACAGTTAGTTGGGGTCACACAGAGTCAACCATGTAGAGTATGACCTCTACGCTTTAGGACTTGCTAGCCCATGACACTGGAAACACCGTCCACAAATGAACCATGCGTGCGAACAGAAGGTTGCCAAACACAGGGCATTCTAATTATGCTTATTAAAAAGAAATCCCAAGACTCAATCCATGTCAGGTATTATTGGTACTCCTATCATTTCCCATGTGAGAGAAGGGGACAGGTTTGGGAGCTGGGAGATGGTCTTTAGTAGTATCATGCACCAGCCCAACCTGAATTCAGACAGGGACTGGGTTACATATTTAATTTTAAAAAATTACATTTTGGTTCATTATAGTGATTATACTTTTCATTTAGTTGTTTTACACATGAAACTCTACTTGGATTATGGTAAAAATATACTCCCTATTCTTTGCCTCTTTGTACAAAGAGTATACCAAGGTCCTCAATAAACATGTGACCAAATGTTACATTGTCCTGCCAATGTCATCCTAGTGTGATAGTTCTGACCAGAGGACTTAAGCTTTCTGATGTGAATACCTTTCTTGCATTTCCCAGGTTTAAAAATCACTTTCTTACACAAAAGGAGACACCTACCATGCATTACCAAATAGATCAAGTATCACTTCAGAAGATCTATTTTTAAAAACATGCCCAATGGCTAAAGAAGGTACACATTGCTGCGTCTGTCCACATTTGTCAAGGTGAGCTGGTGAGAATTCTGCCCTGTGACCTTGAAAACCTGTTTGCTATCAAATAATGTCCAAAAATAAAATAATGTAGTAAGCTTTGTAAGGTCCTATGAAATAAAAAGTCCTTTGATTATGCCTCACTTTATTCAACAGCTGAACACAAAAATACCTCTTTCACTTACCTCTCCTTCTCTGCAAACCTTCAGCAGTCTTTTTGAGCTTCTTCCTGGCACTGACCAGCTGGCTACTATCAAAGAGTTGTGCTGAAGGGGCGCTCGCAGACTTAGGGATCCTCTTCTCATTGCCCTCCACTCTAGGCAGACCCTTCTCCAGTGTCTCTGGGATGTTGTCCTTAGCAACAGGCAGAGGTGGTGGGGGCGG